AAATTGTAACCAGTTATGGAGACCCATGCTTTCCATCCCAGCTTAAGAAGACAAGGTAGGAAGAACCCCAATTTGAAGTCAGCTTGAGCTACTGAAACATTGTCTCAAAATTCCATTCTGATTCCAATCAGAGGGCCAGGACACCTGCTGCTGGGTAGTGTCTTCTGTGAGGCAGTGAAACGGCATTCATGAGATGGTTGCCTAAACAAGACCCAAATAAGTTGGCATGTCAACATACATATATAAGAAGCTCTCAAGGCTCCACCCACAGATAAAGGACTATAGATGATTAAGGGTTACTGAGAGTGGTAAAGTCAGTCTTCTCCAGGAACGTGCCCCTAATATGTTACCCCATCCCAGAATGTCACTCCTAAATACAAGGTACATGCAAACAACACGAAATATACTATGGGAGATGATAGAGGATGGACGGATGGATGATGGATGGATGGATGGATGGATGGATGGATGGATGGATGGATGGATGGATAGATGGATGGATGGATGGATGAGATATCATGGCCAAAAGCAAGTTGGGAAGAAAGGGTTTATTTGTCTCACACTTCCACATCATACTCCATCACTGAGGGAAGTCAGACCAGGAACTCAAACAAGGCAGGAACCTACAGGCAGGCACTGATGCAGAGGCCATGGAGGCTGCTTACTGCCTTGCTCCTCATGGCTTGTTCAGCCTGCTTTATTACACAGCCGGGGAACAACAGCCCAGACATGGGACCACCCACAATGAGCTGGGCCCTCCCCCATAAATCACTGATCAAGAAAAACAACAGCCCTCCGGGTTGGCATACAGCCAGATCTTATGAAAACGTTTTCCTAATTGACATTCTCTCCTCTCAAATGACTTTAGTTTGTGTCAAGCTGACATGAAACTGTCTAACACACTGTGCGCATACACATATATGAAACAGTAATAGCAGACACCACTGTTAATTATAGTTATTGTATTATAACACAGGTCCCTTGAGTACTCTTTCTGACTGGAAACTTTGATTGGTATCTCCCCAGTCACTTTCTTTAGCTGTGCTGGCCTCCATTCTACTCTCTACCACCAAATTCTTCTTTAATGGCTGGCTTTGCCCATGGGCTACAAACTCGACAAGAAACAACTTAAAACCATTTCCAAAAAACAATCACCCAATGTAACATTTTTAAATTTTTTTATTTATTTTATATATTAGAGTTCTTTGCCTACATATATGTTTGTTGACTTTGTGTATGTGCCAGGTTCCCTGGGGGCCAGAAGAAGGAGTCATATTCTCTAGAAATGGAGTTGCAAACACTTGTGAGTAGCTAGATGAGTGCTGGGAATTGAACTTGGGTCCTCTGGAAAAACAACCAGAGCTCTTAACTGCTGAGCCATCTCTCCAGCACTACTAATGTAATTTTAAAACAGAACACACACACACACACACAATCAACCCATAGCAAGGGAGTACAGAACAGTTAGATCTGCAGAACAGTTATTGAAAACATTTGTGTTTCTCTTTTGAAAGATGTCCTACGTGGCCATGGAGGCAAGATTAGCTTTCTAAAAGGCACAAAAAAATTTGAAGCAATCATGATCTGTCCATTATCATTTTATAATTATCTCTGTGATTATTACCTTAGGAGGAAACCTTATGCACACATAACCCTTATACTCATGGGATCATTGTTTCAATGACTACTTGGTTGTGCGACAAGCCGTCACCTGCCTTCCTTTGTTACTTGATTTTACTAGAGCTTTGCTTTCTTATGTCTTAGCCTCCCCCGGTGCTGATGCCATTGAAGGGAAATGCTGCATCCTTGCAAGGGTTCCTCTGTGGCAGTCATAGAGTATACCAGTCAGCCTGAGTGTGGTTGTGAGTTGTTGTCTCCTAATGGAAAAGACAGGTCTGGGATTTCAATACTTCTCTCAACTATGTTGGGGAAAATGAGGCTGTCTTTTCCCCAGCAAATCAAGAAATGGGTTTAAAGGATCAGCCCCTACATTTCCCACAAAGGAGCAGCCCCTCACCACAGCCTCTTCCCAATACAGTCAACCCATTAATGACCTAGCCTGGAGGTTCTCTGCTACTCTGATCTCCTCACACACAAAGGTCCTGAGGCTCGCTCAACCAACCTCTGCCAGCAAAGATTTTGGTGAAAGAACTCTGCAGTTGCAGTTGCATTCTATTTATTCACACTTTTTTCCAAACACTGGGGAACTGAGAGGTTTAGAAAGAAGTCTGAGAGACTCACTAATAAGCTTCGTCACTTTACAAATGAAGTGTGTGTGCGCAAACAGGAAGAGAAAGACAGATACACACATAACGGTATATGCTCGTGTAGCGTCAACACATGATATTTCAAAAACAAATGTGAGCCATATAAACACAGAAATATGAAATTAGTAGGAGTGCCAGGAAATCCTGTTCAGATAAGATGATTTCCTGGGAATTTCCGTACTCAACACCACTTCACGCCTATTTTAATTATCCTTTATTCACATTGAGTGAAATGAATTGCTTTCCATTTTGATTCATTTCATTCTTCAAGTTAACCAGATTTTTGCCTAATCTATGTAGACACCGGCTTCATAGACACCATTAACTTTGAGAAAAAAAAAAAAACAAGTCAATGACCAGGAGAATGAAAGGGCTAAAGTTTTAACTTGTTCACTGGATTGTCCAGACGTGAACCTGCTGTAGCTCAGTCTCCTCCTTCACTCTGAAGTTCTGATGTTGAAATTACATGACACAATAATCCACTTGAGACATCTGATAACAATTCAGGTGCAATTCTTATATCAAATCAACTGTAGACAGAAGCAGTAGCAGGTCTTAGATAACAAAATTAATCAGCCTCGAGCAATTTTTACTGGGTCTGCACTGAATTGTTGAATCAATCGTCTGGCAAATAAACTATTAATTGTCGACTCCCTTAACTTTAGATGGGGTGTTAATAAAGGTAAATAGTATTCTACGGATGCAAATGCCCCTCTGGGTCTTGAAATGACTTTGCAAGCCAGTTATACAATCACATGGCTTGGTTAATTGGAAGGGTCCATTGGCATACCACACTCTCATCATATTATATATCCTTAATGCACATCATGAAGTATCCATTCCCTATAAATGTATCATGAAGTATAAGTATTTTCAAAGTATGAGAATTATAGGCCATGAATTGTGCTAATAAAATTCCTCTTTTGGCGATAGTTAGATGAAAGAAAACGTGGCTGAATAATCACCACCCAGGATTGAGGAAGCAAAACAGTATTCCCCCATGGTGTAATAGCTAGCAATTAGCAATTGGAGCAAAGGATTATTTGCCTCATCACTACTAGCGTTGTGTGTCTGTAAGAGCCCAACTTGGCTGATCACCTGGCAGGTACGTGGCGGATTCCACTCCGAGGGCCCCCAGGGATCTTGGGACACCACCTGCATCCCTGCATCCCTCCACGACTTTTGCTTACATATGAGCTGAAAATTTATCCTGGTGGATGTCTGTGTACAACTGAGGGATGGCAGCATGTGCCTGTCCATTGAGATCGATGATCAGCTCAATCCCTAAGAAGTGTGGGTCCCCTTGTTTCTTGGTTGCTAGTGACAAATTATTTCAGGTGACTGGGAAATTTCTGGTGATAGGATATATCTGGGGACAGAGACTCTGGTCAGTTCTCAATACCTAGAATGGGACAGAGGCAAGTACCCAATAATGTCTGTTGATAGAGTGGAAAGACAAAGAAGACAAAGGCTTGAAGTCAGTGACTTATGTGGAGAACAAAATCACAATGGAGTTTCAAGGTGTACTCGGGAAAAGAAAAAGAACGAGCTGGGAACAGAGTTGGGTTGTGAGATGGTTTGAAAGGAAACGGCCCCCGAATAGAGCGGCATTATTAGAAGGTGTGGCTTCTTTGGAGTAAGTGTGTCACTGTGAAGGTAGGATTTTTAGTTCTGCTATGCTCAAACTATACCCAGTGTCACACTTGATTTTCTTGTTCCCTGCAAGATGTAGGACTCTCAGCTCCTCTCCAGCAACACATCTGCCTAAATGCCACCGTGCTTCCCACCATGACGATAATGGACTGAACCTCTGAAACTATAACCAAGCTCCATTAAATGTTTTCCTTGTATGAGTTGCCACGGTCATGGTGTCTCTTCACAGCAATGGAAACCCTGCCTGAGATGGGATGTATGCGCTGATCTTTGTATGCAAGGGCATAGTAGCTTTAGCCAGACACGGTTATTTGTGTCTGTCATCCAGCTTCCTGGGAGGGGAAGGCAGGAAGGTTGGAATTCAAGGTCTACATTCACCGTCTTGAGACCAGTTGGGCTATATGACACGCTGTCTTAAGAAGCAACACCAAACAAAAGATTGTTTCAAAAGGGGAAGGAAATTAAGAACCCAGCTCACCCGCACACATCTGTGGCCACCTGTCAGTTCTCCGCTTCCTGGACCTCAGTCATTTGCTTAGGTTTTCAGCGGTTGCCGTGGTTAGACAGCACCTGTGTGCTGTTTTCCCTTCAATGGATTTTAAGCTGACTTCACCATTTTTCAACATGAGGCATCCGCACAATGCTGTCTCCCAGAACAGAGTCCTCTTCCCTCTTAGAGCATCACAATGCCCATGTGCAGCCAATAAGGCTGCAATGAAGATTCTGCTGCCACCAGTCGACGGACAGGGAACCCATCTGTGCATCCCTCACAGGCTGTCAAGCAAGAATGTGTCATGGTGGCACCTATGTGTTCCGATGCACACTTGAATGCTTTCCTGTGAATGTTTAAAACCCAGCAGTATAGCATGCGAAGCATTCACACACTTGGTCTGTAGCAAATCCAGTGACTGAAACACTGACAACTGTGCTGAGATTGAACTGAAATAGCATGTTCTTTACTTCCAGCAAATAAATCCCCAAAAAGGGAGATTATGCAAGAGACCGAAGTTGCTTGTATAATAGAGCATTCTAGAACTCTATCAGAAACACTACAAAGAACTCAGAATCTGGAAGAGATCATAAAAGAAACTGTGTCTCCAAGTAGGACAAGCAGAGGGTGAGGGCAAGTTTTTGCAGGGGACACAGGAGTCTCTCACTAACACTCTAGTTGTGAAGCCTTGATCCCTACAACCAAGCCCAGCGTGGTTGCTCTCTATATCTTCCTGTGTAACCTTCCAGAGGTCTGCATCAACCCGGAAGAGGGGCAACTTTCCAGAATCATCCCTCTTCAGGTGAGGGAATTTATTTTTCTAGCTTCCCTGGACAATTGGTCTTCCTATCAGAACGTATCATACCTTTACTTAGAGTCGCACAAGAGTGAGAAGCATCATTTCTTACTTCAAATAAATGCCAACCTCCTTCTCATTTTTCATCGTCAGAAGGTGAGAAGGTAGATTGGAGGGCAGAGGGGAGACCAAGAAGCTATGTTCCACCTTTCAGAAGCACACAACACCTCCTCAATAAGCTTCCTAGTCACCTGCTGTTTTGCCACAAAGTAGCCAAGGTTCCTACCCTCCACACACACCGCACACTGTATTATGAGATGAAAGGGCTTTGAGGTCAGATATGGAACTACTATTTCTAGTTCACTAGCTTCAAAGGAGGGAGGTGTCTTGGAATATTCAACTGGGCCCAAGATGAACGCAAGAGAGAAGGTCCACCTGAGGCAGAGGGAGAAGTACTCCATGCATCTCAGCTGAAGAAGGCCAGGATTCCAGGCAGCTTATGAATCTGAGACAAGAAGAGCCTATAGAACCTTCCTTAAGAGCAAGCTAGTCAACGCCACGGCTAATTATGACCTATACAATCATAGACTAGAAACAAGTCCCTCTTGTTGGCTAATTATGACCTATACAATCATAGACTAGAAACAAATCCCTCTTGTTGGATAATTATGACCTATACAATCATAGATAGACTAGAAACAAATCCCTCTTGTTTCTAAGTTTATGACAATGTATGACAGCAGCATTACAAGGGAAGTATGTCCTCCGTGGAGACCAGAGAGCCCTCAGCTTTTCCCCCTTTGGTTTCCAGTGTGCCGCTTTCTTAGCTCCTCTGCGATATATCCAGTACTTGGTTTCCACCCATTTTAGGCTTGGTTCCCTTTTCCTTAAAGATTTTTAAGTTGAAGATTCCTCTCCTACACCTGAGATGTAATGAAACATTAAGTTGATATATCAAAAGGAACTCCTGGGGTTGCATGTGTTTAGGTAATGCCAAGTTTACCCCAAGTTACACAGACTGTGGTATCTCATGAATTATCACTCTTGATTAAACTATTATTATAGCTACGTAGACAGGGACCATACCTGTGTACTGTACAGCTGTACACAGTGTGGAACATTTCCTAAACTTATATCCCATGGCAGCTTATGTACTAGAACGTCGTAGTTTTGGTCTTCCACACGTATGTGATTAGACGTGTTACTCAATCCACTTGTTTCAAGTGTTACCGTTCCTGCAGTCATCACTCTGCGACAGTGGCTTCCAATGCTGTAAAAGGAACCTCTTGGGAAACATGTGATACACACTGCTGTGGGTACCTTCAGACGTGCCATCTGCCTTACCGAAATCGACCTAGAGAAATCGCGTGCCGAAAGACGACCTAGTTAGGCAGACGGAAAAGCTGGAGCTGGCAGTCAGATTCTCACGTTCCGAAGTCTGGGTGCGTGATGAGTCCCTCCTGCGCTTAGCACTGGGTTCTAAGGAGGGAGGTATGGGTTCAACAGAGGACACCACCGCGGATACTGAAGACACCATAAGGCCCTTGGGTCCCCCTGAATGCGCTACCCCTAGGGATGTCCCGTCACAGGGTGAGGGCATGGAAGGGAGGCCCAATCGTGACTCAGATCCTGAAGACAGCAAACCTGGAGCAGGGTCCCTCCAAACTGGAGATGATAAGTGAGTGGCAGAGTCCGCTCCCGGGAAGATGACACGAGCAAGGAGGGTGAACGACTTTCACGGTCCTAGAAGTCCGGCTGCTGAGAAAGAAAAAAAACTCACGAGAAAGAATAGTTCTAAGTCATTCTATAAAGACAGACTGGCATCAGACTGTGTAGACCATGGGGAAGGCCAAAAATTTCAACACAACGGACTTTTTGGTCTTAATCCTTTAACTCGTGGGGTTCCTATACTGTTTTCTCTCGTTAAAGCGACAGAATTTGGAGCTGTGGTTAGTATTTTGTCTTATTTTATTTTTTTTAATGCCCAAGTTTTTAGGAATAATAATTACCCCCCCGTAATGACCTGTGTGAGGCCCCTTGTGCCCTGTACCCTGTCTTCCTCTGCCTTGCCACTAGATGGCACTAGAACCAAAAATCAGGATCCAGCTGTGTGTTCCTTTTGACTTGAGACACATACATAAATTTACGTTAAATATCTCCGTTCTCTTATCAGTTGCTGGTCTCTTTGATCCCCTGGGGTATTTTCCCTTTCCCTAAATATTTTCAGCTTACTAACTACAGTGTTCGAAGAAAGAGCACGAAGAACTCTTACAGACCAACCCCGGTGAGCAATGCTTTTGCAGACAGCACCGACCACCGGCTGCAAGTTGATACATTTGAATTATTTGACCCTGATGACTTCAATAAAAGGGGGAAAGTCTTCTAACTCACTAAACGGGGAAGGTGGTTAAATTACCTCCTTGACACTTAACTCTGGTTAGAATATGGACAGGGAGGAGAGCTCCAGCCAAATGGTTTCCTAATTCCTCAGGAAAGTAATGTGAGCGCCTGGGGCTTTGGCCCTCCGTCCTTCGTAAAAAGCCCTTTTCACTTGTTTCTACTCCTTTGCATATGTCTTAATTCATTCCTTTTCAACTACATTTTTCTTAACGATACCGTTCTTTCTTTTTTAGCAGTGGGAAGGACACAAGTTCCCAATTTGTTGGAAAATTAGTGTTCTAATAAATCTACAACAACAACAATGGCAAAATCATCCCTGGTCACTTGAAAACATGTGTCTAGTGACACGAGCATCCATCAACCAAGATTCCTGTGAGAAACCTCTAAGAGAGAAGAAAGCTTCAAAAGGTATAGCCTCCAATACAGGTAAGAGGCCAATGAATGCTATCGCCCACTAAATCCTCCAAACTGAAATCTGAGGAGGGAAGGCAGCCTGTCAGTGTGCCACAAAAAGAGCACTGTTTAAACACAAGCAGACCTTTGTTTAAGTGCCATCATTTCAATAACCCCAATAATAAAGAAGAGAGAAAAAGCCATGTGGACTCTGCTTAATTCTATTTATCTGGAATTTCTATGTTTTCCTTTATTCAAACCTGCCACTTCTCAAACAGGCAGCAGGAAATGGGGGTTAATAGAATGATAGACTTATGGATCCAGATAAATAATTAATGGCCTGAAGTAATTAGCTAGAAGATGTTTAATCATTAATTTGTCTGAGTCATCAAAAGCAGTGGAGTCCATCCACAAAATACTGCACTAATTGGGAGTATATATATATATATATATATATATAGTCAAGATGGAAATTAATATGTGATGAGAATCAGCACTTTAAAAAATTAAAATGTGGGGCAAGTCTGTTCAAACCACTCTTCTCTTGCTAAGACTTTGGCCTCCTTTGTCTTGACTGATATGATGAGAGCTGGGTGAATTCTGTGAAGCACACTTAGCAAGAAGCAGACTTGGGTAGCGAGGAGAGGTAATCAGCTAGTTGTGTCTTTCTGTAGGGAAACTGTGGAGGAAAGGAATGCAAAAACAAAAGTACGTCATTATCTAAGTATCCGGTGGACAATTCAGGTTCTCTGGGAGATTTAAGGTAGAGAGAAAAGTCCTTTAACATAATGCTAACTTTTACAATGTACGACTGTGTACTTCGATGAGCTGTTTCCAATACAATTTTATTACAGGCCCTAAATTATGCTTTCACAGGGAAGGTCTGTCTTTAAACTTTTAGGTCGGAATTGTTCCGATCTTTTCACACTGAATCAATCAGGTTTAAAGCTGGCAAGATCTTTGGCAGCCTTGTAAATCTTTCAAAAGATGTTATCCAATTACCCTTCACGGGCCGCAGGACTCTACACCGTGACCATTTCCTTCTCTGTGAGGAATTAAGTGCTCATGAGAGGCTAGAAACCAATGGAGTTGAAAAGCAAGGCTTTCCCTCTGCCTCACAGGCTATACCGCGTCTCCAACTTCTAATATGTCATGAGGCGGCCACAGAAACCTGACCTAAATAGTGGTGACCCCGGCCTCACCAAGGTCTAGTTGTTTTAAATCAGTAAAAGGAAAAATAGCGAAGCAGGATGATGACTGTAAAATTTTAGCATGAAGATTATTCAAAATGGGATGCATCAGCGATGCCTGTTACTTTGTTATTTCTCCCAAACCTCAAACTCAAAATTTTAGGTGTAACCCATAAATACACAGGAGACTGAAAAGGAAAATAAGGAAGATGAATGTACTTCTTCTGTCCAGGCTTTGATCTTCTAAAAAAAGGCTTTATTTTTCCATTTAAAAAACACATATTAATCTCTGTTAGTTCTTCCTGCTCTCGGATGCCAGCACTGAGAACGAATAAATGGCTAAGGAGACATTCAATTTATATAAAAGCCCATTTCGTGCCATTCAGTTTCAAAGGGAAAAATCATCTCGAGCAGAATCCATGTTCAAGTAATTTTTCAAGGAAAACTGTGGACGTGTGTGCGGGTTTTCGCAGGAGTTAGAAAATGCTGCTGGCCTCTCGTGTAGAATGTGAGGGGAGGGTATGGGACTTCGGCTGTACCTTTGACCGTCTGCGTCAGTCACTGTTTACGACCTTTGTCCTTTGGCAAATCTCGACCCTTTCTGTTTCCCTTGATATTTTACTGCCTACAGCAAAGGCTCCCCCCTCTCTGAACCAAAAGCAGAAGTCAGTACATGTTTGGGGTGTTTTTTTTTTTTAACCAAAGCTCAAAGAAAGAAAAGGGAAAGCATTAAACAACAGAAAAGACAAAGCATGAAGGAAAACATTTGAAGTTTCTCCCTTAGGTTGCACTGCTTTTAGGGACCAGAATGCAAGCTCTTGGCCACATGTTCCAATGTCGGAGGTCTTTGCCTTCTTTGATTTAAAATGTGCTGCACCAAGAGATAGGCAAGCTGAAATTTTTGCACATTACACTTCCCAAACTTCCCGCTCCAGCCATTAAAACCGCAGCAATCATCTCCGAGCTGTGTTCTCATCAACCGGCCATCACGCTGGTGTCTGGGCTGCTGGTCTCCAAGGAAATGCAGTTGCCCTTATCCGGAGTGGGAGCAAAAGGTGAATCTGTGTAAACACTGCAAGTAAACTGAGCACCAGGACCAGCTCCCTTCCAGATGAGGAGGCCAGACATCACCAGCTGTAAACATGAGGGGGAAGCCCAGTCCCTGAGGGAGGGAAACCAGCTCCTTAATTCCAAATCCTGACCCTCATTTCGTCTTTATGGTATTACCAACTGTTAAGGGTCTCCTTCAACCACACTGCTGGCTGGTAACAAGTGATGTAGAGTTTTCTGTGCTTGTCTTCCTTTAGTAAGAGGACTTCTTCTAATTTCATGGGTAGAACATGTTCACTCATCTTGTCCCATTTTCCCTGCATTCAAGTCCCCTTCTTCTTAAAAAGAAAACAAAACAAATAACAACAAACAAACAAAACAGAAAAAATACTTAGTTTTCTTTAAAAAAAAAACCAATTCTGTCCATTGTTACCTGCTTTCAATCCTCAGATCCATAGGGAAAGGAAAGAAATGAAAACTGATTCTTGTCACAAAGAAGTCAGCAAGTCAGCAGACAGACACACACACACACACACACACACACACACACACACACATTGAGTTATAAATGTCTGGCACTATAGGGGAGGAGGATGAGAGGGGAGGGACAAGGTGAGGAGGAGAGAGAGAAGGGAGGGGAGAGGAGAAGAAGGGAGGGATGAAGAGGGGAGGGAAGGGAAGGGGTGGGGATGGAAGGAAAGAAGGGGAGAGGAGAACAGGGGAGGGAAGAAGGGAGGGAAGGGGATGGGAGGGGATGAGAAAGAGGGGGGGAAGGAAAGGGAAGAAACCTCAGAATTAAGAATAACCAAGTACCTAGTAGGGCCTAGAGGCTCCCACTTTTAATCTCAGAAATTAAGATGCTGAGGCAGGAGGATTGTGAATTCAGTGCAGCCCTAGCTGCCAGGCAAGACCATTTGTCACAAAATAATGCATGCATGCAGGCAAGCATATGTATATATACATGCATGCATACATACATACATGCATACATACATGCAAACGGTGTCTATCAGAATTGACAGCAAAGTCGCATGTACCTTTTCACTAGCATGAGAATGACTAGAATCTTTGAATTACAGTATTCCAAAGCTTGTCTAGTTAGGAAATATCTCCAGGGTTACTTGTTGGCCAGATAGCATGAGGATTTTTATACTTTCTTTTTCAGTAAGTTATAAATATTAATTTTTTTCAGGAAGAGTTTTATTTTTCAGTCTTTCTGATGTCCTTGTAGAGTTCATTTATAACCTATGTTCTTTTTATTCTACAAATTCTCTTTCTCTGCTGCTTAAGTGTTTGACAAATTTAAAAGTACAATGAATTTTAAGAATCTTTTTCTGATTTTTTTCAGTTTTTTCCAACATTACCTTTGTAACCAAGGAAAACTGTAAACTTGATATATAGCTGAGATTGACCTTGAGCTCTGGGTCTTCCTGCTTCCTCCTTCCGAGTATGGGAAATATTGGTATATAACACCAACCCAGCTTTGGATGAAGTTACTTCCAGATGAACCAACATGCTTGGTTCAACCAGAATATGGAAGAACATTCAAAAAAATGCCAATATGAAGTCTAGAAAAATACATAGATCTATTTTTTGGGGTATTTGTCTGTTATTAACTTTAAAGTGATTTAGAAAAACAAAACTTTAAAAATTTTTAAAATTCCTGTGTCAGTAACCTATAGCTTTCCACAACAGTTGGTTAGAAAGAATTAGATGAAGAGAAGTCTAAATGCTAAAATACAACGGTTCCTCAGGCAAAAGAGATAGCTCAGTTTATGGAGTGCTTTCCCAGCATGAACAAAGGACTGGTAACTGGAGTTAGAATGCAGGCCTGTCTGTAACTGCAAGCTAAAGTAGTGAAGGCAGGGGTATCATACATCCTAGGACATCTCTGGCTACACCTCATCCAGGGGCTCATGAGACCCTGTCTTAAAACAAAAAGTTCCAGAGTTAAAGGCCTGCTGCATTGAATAGACTGAAAATATTTCCAGAAACGTCACTTGAGAATTCCTAAGGTACCGTTCAAACCTCTGTCTCCAAGGACTTCCTTCTTAGTTTTCATATCCATCACTCATCACTGGTTGGGGTTAGGGCCGGTTATTTCCAAGTTCTTGGCCTTTTATTCAAGAAACTGAAGTAAAAACCCACACAGATTTTCAAAAGTGACAAGGAAACTAGTTAGAAGGAAAGAAATCAACAGAAAACACTGTAAGAGACCATGAGTAGAGATAACTCAAAGGCCCTGGTTATCACTGAGGCTTCCTTTTATAGGATTCAGGAGAAGGGAGAGTTTGATTACCCAGGAGCATATTGAGAGTAGTTTTGTTTTGACTTACAGATTAAGCTGGGTTTGCGTTACTCTCACTATAATGTACCTGGTTTTCATCATTCATATGCCTGTCTTAGTTAAGGTGTAATTGCTGTGAAGAGACACCCTGGACAAGGCAGCTGTTATAAGGAAAAGCATTTGACTGGGGTTGGCTTACAGTTTAGAGGGTTAGTCCATGATCATCATGGTGAGAAGCATGGCAACATGCATGCAGATAATGGGGCTTGGGATGTAGTGAAGCATTCTATGTCTTGGTCTACAGGCAGCAGAAGGACACAGTGTGCCATGCTGGGTGCAGCTTGAGCGTATAAGTCCTCAAAGCCCACCCCTACTGTGACACACTTTCTCCAACAAGGTCACACCCACTCCCACAAGGGCACATCTCCTAATAGAGTCATTCAAGCACATGAGTCTATGGGGGCCACTCCTATTAAACCACCACAATGCCCAGTTTTGCATAGGCA